CAGAATCAAGGCCGACCTGCGAGAACTTGGAATAAATGAAAAACTTGCCTCAAATAGAATAGCATGGAGATATCGGACAAGAAAAGCAGACCCTGCTTAAGCGGGACCCATGCGAGGATGATACTACTGGTGGTGTACTTACGGTCCAAGATCGCGTGCCGGCGCATCGTCAGTGATCTTGCGCATTTTTATCACTCATATAGACAAAATGAAACAGTTTCAAATCAAACTTGCCTTAATCTATTTTCAAGAATCTCACCTATATGTAGGAATTAAAACTACAAATTTTCTTTTTTGCTTGTGGTATTCAAGGAACCGTGTTCAAGGAACCGTGTTGGAGGGACAGTACTTTCTCCGCACACTAATCAACCATTAGGTCTTAAATTGAGCAACCCATTTGCAGAAAAAAAATTGTACTGACCATACTAAGCAAGCAATCGTCTTCGCCTGGGAGTATTCTTTCATACAAGAGACTCATTGTGTATTTTTACAAAATAATAGGGTCACTTGAAGATGCACGAGTTGAAATAATGTAAAGCAACAAAATATAACACGACGCAGAATTTTGCCCATGCGGCACTAACTAGGCATGAAGCTAGGAGTAAGCAGATGCTCAAAATGGGCGCGTGTTGCTGAAAGGCTTCGTATGAAATGCGGCCAAATTTTTCATGTATAATCTTGACAATAATGACGAGGATAGCATTCGACGTTTTGCTTACCTGAATCCATTCCCAACTGCGATAGAGTGGACGTCCTTACCTTTGAGAGCTTTGACTTTTTCAGGGGAACTGCTGGAAATTGAGCCACATTAATTTTTCAAAAACGCAAACAGTATTACCGTTCAATAAGATCACCAAGACCTAATTGACCAACATCATTGCAACCCCACGCAAATACTTCATTGTCAAATGTCAGTATCATGCTATGAGTGCAGCTAATAGCAACCTGAAGCAAATCGACTTACTTGGAAACAATGATTTCCAGTGCCCAAACCTTTTTGATTCCAATCCTCTTTGGAAGGTCCTCTACAGGTCGAAGGGTGATTGAACTTGGATCTAGCGCATATAAGGTCGAACTTGCTGCACGTTGAGCAAGCTGTGAAGTAACGCTCAGAGCACTATTATGCGGACGAAGCATCTAAATTTGTTTAACACTAAGAACCAGGAGGAAGAGAGTAATAAAAAACACCCGAAGTGCGTCAGCGGCACGTGGTCGGGCCACGGGATCAAGCTGTAGCAGTTCTCGAATCAACACTTTAACTTCTGTTGAGTACGGACCTCGAACTGGGGCGTAACTGCACTGCAAATGACAGATAAATTACAAAACTAATATAGACAAAATGG